GGCAGGGGCCGGGGTGGCAGGGGCCGGGGGTGACTGCTGAGGGGGACAGAGCTGCTGCTTGGGGGGATGACAGAGTGTTGGAAACAGCTAAGGGCAGGGCTGTGGTGAACGTAATTAACGCCACTGAACCACTCACATAAAAATGGTCAAAGATGGCACAATAAGATTGAAAAATAAAAACCTCTCAGAAGTAGAAAGAACATCCACACAAGAGAAAAATTTAGGGGGGAGTTACAAGATGTTTGGGACAAGTTACCCCCAATCAGGGGAGCATGGTGGGGAATCAAGTGGCCTAAGAACAGCCCGAGGCACCTCTTCCCGCCCAGGTCCGCTGCCTGCGATCCCTGGGGCCCTGCCTGCTCTTCCCTCCCGGCTTCTCCTCGAGGGAAGGGCTGCTGCCCACTGCAGGGAAGGGCTGCTGCCCGCTGCCCAGAGCGGGCGCCCTGTAATACCATGTGCAGGCAACGATCCACAGGCGGACAGGCAGCGATGACTCTGGGCCGGAGGAGGAGCAGACACCCAAAGGAGGGTCAAGACCTCGGAGCCCTGACCAGAAGGGTGAGGCGCACCGTGGACCAACAGGCAAACGCTCAGGCCGGGGCGGGGAGGCAGGCGTCGCTAACATCGCGAGGGCTGAACTGTGTGGGTGGTTCTGTTGACAGTGGGGGCAAAATGCAAATATGTGAACACACTTGTGGTAATACACAGGTTGCTTTCTTATTAAAGGCCTGTGAGAATAAAATGTAATTACTTATGAGCCAGTCCGGGGTGGGGGAGGTGAGTCTCTTCTGAGTAAGGAAGATAAACCAAAAACCCACATGACTGCTGATGAGTAGACTGGAACTCAGGGTGCCCCGCGTGGGTCACAGAACTGAGCTCCACTGGGCTTCCAAGGGCCGTGATCTTTCGGACGTCAGTCTCCAGGCCTTTAGATTCCCCAGCTCCTCTGGGGGGATCCGAACTCATAACCTTCCAGCTGGTAGCTGAGCGCTTAACCGTCTGCACTACCCAGGGACTCGAGCATAAGGAAGACAGCTGACAAAAAGCAAAACAAAACGAAGCCCCACAATGCACTGCCTCTAGGTGACAACACAAAGGGACAACAGTGCCAAGAGGGGCAAAGGGCAAGGGGAAGAGTCCGCTCCCGGCCTGACGGGAATCCGTGCAGCTCCCCGGAGTCAACGTGCTCAGGCAACGTGGCTTCACAGCTCCTCCCTCTGCAGAGTGGGTCAGGCCTGTGCATTTCCACAGGCCAGTACTGTGTGTGCACATGTGCTTGCACATGCATGTGCACACATGTATATGCATGTGTGCATGCACATGTGTATGCACACACGTGTGTGAGCTTCTCCCATCCTCCCACTTCTCTAAGACAGTGCCACTGTCCCCGGCATACAGCTCAGAAAGCTGAGGACAGAGATTAATCACCCAAGGACTCCCGGACAGGAAGCCACACTGGAATTTTACTCCAGGCTTGCTGGCTCTGAAACCCACTCCACTGTACACTGGGACCACCAGCATTTCATAAACAAAACCTTCTACTGCACACAAACCTGAGTGGTCCTCATAAGCCAGAGGAAGCGATCCGGCACAGAGGTGGTCATCCTCTAAGTTCCCTGCTCCGTCCACGCTCTACCTGTTGTGCAGATCACACCTGGTCGTCTGAGCAATGCTCACCTTCGCCCCTAAACACCGTGTGCCGGTGCCTCAGACACAGCGAGGAGAAAGCCTCTAGTCAAGAAAAAAGACTTCCCTCCGTGTTTCCGCCGAAGGTCAGGTGTACAAAGCATCTCCCATCATTTGCTTTCCTAAGGATTTTTTAAACAACTACAGCTGCTCCAAGACACAGGTCTCCAAAGTACTCATATCCTTGCTGGCATTTCAACAGTTTGGGGGCCCGTGGTCAGGCAGACCAAAAAGGGCCTGATTCCCAGTCCCCGGAGAATCATGCTCCGTTCCCAACTCTCAGCCTGAAATCCTTTTAAACAAACTAACTGATGAAAGACTGAAGCTCTGAGGCCGTTTCATGGCTGCTGACCCCTGCAGTGCACGCTGGCCACTGCTCCTGTGGTTGCCGTCCGCTGCTGTCACGTCGGCCCTGATGCACGGGCACCCCACACACAATGGGGCCAGGACGCTGCCCGGTCCTGCAGCTTCCCCGCGGTCGGACGCAGGGCTGAGACGCTGCCCGGTCCCACACCTTCCCTGTGGTTGGACGAAGATGGGCCCTTCTGATCTGTAGTATTTTCTCTGGCTGATTCTCAGACGTCAATCACCAGGCCTTCCTTACTAGTTGACTTAGTCCGGAAGCTCCACTGAAACTTGTTTAATGTCACGGTGACACCCAAGGCTCTCCAGTGGTGGTGGGTGTGCAGAGGGTACTGGCCGGGAATCGAACCCGGGTCTCTGGCACGGAAGGTGGGACCTCTACCACTGGGCCATCACCGCCCCCAAGAAAGCGCCGGGGTTTCTGCTCCAGGGCTCCAGTAGCACGTCTTGTGGACGCTCATCCTCGAAGTCCCCATCAAGTACAAAGAACAGGTTCGTGAGCAGGACAGACACCAGGACAGACACCAGGACAGACACAGGCCAAGGACGGTCCAGCTGGTGGGGCAGGGCTAACCCCAAAGGCAGTCAACCAGACCCACTGCCACTGAGTCGGTTCTGGCTTCTAGCGACCCTGCAGGATAGGGTAGCACTGCCCCACAGGGTTTCCAAGACCGTCAATCGTTACAGAAACAGACTGCCACGTCTTTCTCCTGCGGAGTGGCCAGTGGGTTTGAACTGCTGACCTTTTGGTTAGCTGAGCACTTAACCACTGTGTTGCCAGGGCACTTACTCAGAACACGCTTATACAACAGATGTGAGTCAGCAGGCGCATCCAATGCCAGGAAGTATGAAATACAACAGGGACACACAGCAGAGAGGGAAGAAACCCATGGAGATGCCACCTATGTAAGACCTCGCGGGACGAGCAGAGTTAACATGAGAAGCAGTAATCCGTGGTGAGCAGAGCGCCACCACCCGCCAGGCAGACCCACCCACCGTTCAGTGGGGTGGCCACCAGCTGTTACTGCACGGTGGCTGGGGTGGCAGTCCTGGGACCCCAGTGTCCCGCCAGCCCTAGGCAGCATCTTGCTCTGAGGGCTGTAGGCTCGTATCTCCTGATGCAAACACCCAAACTCTCGGCTACAAAAGGCAATGCCATGGTGTCTCAGAAACATCCCGTTTCAGAATAAGCCCTGCCGTTCCCACCTGGCAGGCCAAACGGAAAGTACTTAGTGGTGGTGAGTCCTGCTTGCTAGGTGGGCAGAAGCCCTGTCTGCGTCCTGTCACCTGGGCCAGGTGCGCTCTCTCCTACAGGCTCCCATTCTACAAGGGATTAAGTTTGCTGGGGGTAGGTGCTCCTGAGTGGTGTGAATGGCTGGTCACCCCAAGGCAGGAGGTCCTGGCCCACCCAGAGGAGTCTGGGAAGAAAGGCCTGACAATCCAGTCCTGAAAACCGAGCCATAAACTGTCTGCAGCATAGTCCTTCTCGAGTCCGGGTGACTCGATGGCCGTTAGTCACGGGGTTCCATCACAGAGCACGTCAGGCGATGTGGGCAGTGCTGGGTGTGGGGAGTCGGACCAGTTGGGTGCTGAGCACCAGGTGCAAAAGCTCACAGAGCCCCAGTGCCTCTCAGCATGTGAGCTCCAGGGAAGGATGACAGCCTGCCTGTCACCCCAGACACCAAACCAAAAAAACCAAGCAAGCAAACTCACCGCCATCGAGTCGATTCCGACTCATAGCGACCCCCTTTGGGTTTCCGAGGCAGTAAATCTTCCTTCCACAGAGTGCCTGGAACCACCAACCTTCTGATTAGCAGTCAAATGCCTTCGGCACTATGCCATCAGAGCCCCAGGGCCTCTTATTGCCAACACGAGGGGCAGGCCCTGGGCCCAGCCGACCCACCTGAGACATGTAAGCACGGGCCCCCCGCAGCCGGGCACATGAGGGCTCAGCCTGCGTGCAGGGTGTCTGCGCAGTCTGGCCCAGGGAACAGCCTGCCGCAGTGGGGCTGAGACCCCTCACTTCAGCAAGCACAGTGACGCCACGGCCTGCGTGTCCACACGTCCTCATCGTGTCCCCACTGGACAGGGAAGGGCCCAGCACACAGGCAGGGCTAATGCGATCCCACCACGTCTGCCGGGTGCCAGCACTCAGCCGGACGTGACGGGACAGCAAACACCCCAGCCCCTCACTGGAGGACAGGACGCCCCTGGGTGTTGAGGGAGGGGTGGACGGGCGTGGGGCAGCTTCAGCTGGAAGGCACTCCTGAGACACTGGGGCCTTGGCCGTCTGTGGGGCCAGAGGCTGGGCACTCTGTGTCCTTTAGGGTTCCAGGGGTCACTGCCTAGGCGCACGTGCCCACATGTGTGACTCAGCCGTGATCGGGTGTTCCCTGCCTGTGTGCCATGGCAGGCGTGCAGCTCGGCTGTGACCACGTGTTCTGCAGACACTGAAGGGCCTGAGTCAGCGTCGCAACCAGAGGCTGGGTGCGTGCAAACTGTGTGTTCACTTCACATACGGGCAGGTAGGACTCACTCAGTGGCAACCTCCTGTGGGTCTTCGAGACCCTCACAGCTTGACCTCCAGCCACGCAAGCCCACACCAACCCTTAAGTGATCTTTCTTCTCAGTCTGCCCGCCCCCCCACGTCAGACTTTCCCCATAGAACCCCTGGGCAGGGAGTCTGGCCGTTCCGTTGGTGCGGTCACCCTCCCCAGCACGGCATCCAGGACACTATCATCTGTGGAGGCGGCAGACTTTCCCCAGGGCCGGGGCGGTACCTGTGTCTTGGGTGACCCCTTGACATCTGAGGTCAGGCACACTCAGGAGGGTCCCTTACTGAGGGAGCCTTCCCAAGCAAAGCAGTAAGATGACAATAAAGATCTTTCTGTACAAACCACGACACGTGACAGAAACAGAAAAAGTTGAGTGGGGGGAGAAAGACCAGCCCATTTCTGACAGCAAATCTATCTTCAGTCTCCCGGTTTCTGTCAGTGCCAGCAGAAACCGAAGCTGGGTCTTTGCGGTGCCCCACGGAGAGGCCAAGTGAATTCACTTCTAGCAGGGGCAGCCCTGGCCCAGGAGAGCAAAGCAGTTAACCAGCAAGCTTCTGGAACGTTCTCTCAACTGTGTGCCCAGCGCCTAAGCCTGGCTGTGTGGCAGACATCCCACCCGCTGCTTAGTCCACCTGGGCCGACTTGTGAGAACGTTGGGAGCACAACAGGTAGAGGTGGGAGAAGAGACAGGAAACGCTAGGAAGAGAGAGGACACGGGGCGGGCAGGTCACCGAGTGGACTCTGACTCATGGCGACCTCCGTACGACGGAATAAAACGTGGCCTGGTCATCCCCCACCATCGCGGCAGTGGTCTACTGGGGTCCATGGCTGCGGCCGCCGTGTCCAGCCATGTGCCTGAGGGTTCCCCTCGCTTTTGCTGATCCTCCACTTTGCCACACAGGATGACTTTTGCTGGTGACTGGAGCCTAAGGTCAGCAGTAACGCCTGTTCTGGTTCCCTAGTGCCGCTCTGACAAAAAAACGTACCACAAATGGGAGGGTCTTAACAAACAAGAATTTAT